GCGCGTCCGTCCCAACGAGGTCGAATGCTCGAGTCATGGTCCAAGAAATGTTTCTTCATCTTCTTCAAGGCTCTGCTCGTGCCACTTATTTGCTCGACTTTAACTTCGTCGACATCTCAACCTGTTTTGCAAGCTTAGCGGCAGCCGAAGATGATAGACATTCAAACTGCGAAATTCCACCACGTCTGATCTACTAAACTAGACAGAACACCCAGGTATTTTCAGTTTTCGTTGTTGGATTTGCATTGGTTTAGGGAGCCGTATGTTTGGTCTTTTTGCTGGTTGTTTGAATTCTCATTTAGTTCGTTTGGACCAGTGCTGGGAAACCAGTTAAGCACGTGCTGGGTAATTTATTTGCTTTTACTATCGCACGTCTTTCTTTTTTTCTGTAATCTTGCGTTGTGCAGTATTTTGTTATTGTAGTTGTGCTTGTTTTCTTGAATATTTGGTAAATCATTTATTTTATATTTTTGAACACTTGTTCATTTTGGTTGAGGACCGGCTAGTTAAAACCTTAAGCTTTTGTGTCTTTGTGTCGCCAGGTGACGTGGCTTTCCTTTTGAAAAGAGGAACCTAGTTTGAGCGACGAGTTTGGGAGCATTGCCCAGTGTGCCACGTGGTGCCGCGATATTTTCTACCGAGGACTCTTTGCCTATCAGATAGTGGTTATAAGAGAGAAGAGACGAGATAACGTTTTGGTCGAGGGCTAAAAGATTTTTGCGTTGCTGTGCCACGCGGTGGCGTTAGGAAAAAAATAAATAACATCGGTCACGATCCGAGAGAGCGGAGTCGTTCTTTGCCACGGGGTGCCCACTCCCCGCTCTTTTACTTGCACCACTTTTTTCGCGCGGGTTTGACTATCGTTCCTCGTTCTTTGCTCCTAAACCGCACGGAAACACTTGCTACGCGGTCTATCGCGGACTGAGAGAGCGGTGCGGCTCTGTGCCACGAGGTGGCGTTAAAAAAAAAAAAAAAAGGACAAGGATTGGTCGCGGACCGAGACGGTAGTATCGCTCTATGCCACGGGGTGGCGATAAAAAAAAAAGGATCGGTCGAGGACCAAGGGAGCGGTGTCGCTCTGTCCCTCTTTTTTTTAAACGCCACCTTGTGGCAGAGAGATCGGTCGCGGACCGAGAGAGCAGTATCGCTCTGCGCCAAGGGGTGGCGTTAAAAAGGAAAGGATCGGTCGAAGACCGAGAGAGCAATATCGCTCTGTGCCACGGGGTGGGGTTAAAAAAAAAGGATCGGCCGAGGACCGAGAGAGCGGTGTCGCTCTGTGCCACAAGGTGGCGTTTAAAAAAAAAAAAAGAGAGAGAGAGAGAGATCGGTCGCGGACCGAGAGAGCAGTATCGCTCTGTGCCACGGGGTGACGTTAAAAAAGAAAAAAAGGGAGAAAACAAGATGATCGGTCGTGGACCGAGAGAGAGGTGTATCGCTATCCTCGTTTCGGTATGAATAATGCATTACAAGGTAAAAAAGGACGCAACTCGAAAGGGGTTTGGGAGAGAGCTGATTCTAGAAGTCTTTGCTGTTTCAATTAATAAAACGAGGACCGTTCTTAGGACGGACGCGCACAGCTCCGTGCTCCATACCATTGAACAGCGGTAAGTCATGGCTGAGCTGTGCTTTAAAGCGGGCCATATTTAGCATACTTGCCCAGAGGAACGGGCGAAGGAGGCCTGGTTACCGTGATTGCCATATATACTTGATCGTTTCGTTGGGTTTATCGACAAATTTACCTTTTTTTCTGGTGTCTCTGTGGTCTCGAGGTTGGAGAAGTGACCCCATAAGCGTTTTGCCTATAGGCATGCCCTTGAGCCCGATTACTCGGGCTACGGTGGTCATTTTCTCCGAGCTCGGGTTTACAGTCTCTTTACGTTTTGCCATCTTTTGATCGTTTTCTTCTCGGTTCCATTCGGTGAAGAAACGCCGATATTTGTGCCTTTAACGTTACTGAGAGTAAGCAGATACAGACATGTTTAGTATCTCTGGATGTAAACTCGAGTTCGGGGAAAATGGCCACTAAGTGAAAGGATAATATCTTTAGGGCTTATATCGGCCCATATTATCGGGCCCGTTTACTTATACCTGGGCATAAGGAATAGGGGCGTAGAAGCACTGAGTGGGGTCTTCGATAGTCACCTTTTAAGTAACGGTGTTCACAGCCTGTCACTGGTGCATGACTGAATGATTCATTGAGTTGAGAGCAATCCGGGCGTATTTGGGATGTATGCGGTAAACGTTTTTCGCCATTTTGTCTTCTTGGGGACGCTAGAGCCAAAGAGGACGAGGTTTCAGGTTTATGTGTTGGCACGTTTCACCAGGTTTTATATTTGTGAATTATGGTAACACTTACTACCGCTTGTGGAAGTTTTTTTTTCGATTAGCTGTATTTTGATTCTCACAAAAGTAACAAGGGTGACTGATTTGGATGTGACTTTGTATCTGTACCCTCACTCTTCGGTGGTAACTCAGTATTGAGTGGTAGGCTTGGTGTGTGGTTGTGATCACTCCCGTTTCGTTCAGAATAACTTCTTCATTAATGTTCACAAAACTACTGGACAGGAAGTTCCTACAAGCATTGTTCTTTCTGTTTAATGATTGCTAAATTCGGGGTTGTTTTCCCTTCGACAAGTTTTGTCGCTCTTAAACTGGGTGGAGTGTTCTCGAATACAGTTCATTATTCTGTGAGGGCAGCCTTGTACATGGTTTAAGGTGACTCGACCCAGTTTTTTTGGGGGGGGTACCATCCTACTTTGAAGCTCTCTGGTATCCCCACCTTTACTTTTATCGTAAGTCTAACACATAGAATGGATAACATATAGATCAATCTGCAATATGAAATAAAATTTTTGGCGATCGGAGTAAATGTCACGTGGTTATAATGCCACGCCCCTTTGAGGTCTGAGTCGAAAATCGGCTGTTGCCGGCATTTTTTTGTGAAAATCTCTCGGCTACACATAGTGCGCATTAGTGCCTTGCGCTGAACAGAGTTTCACCAAAATCGCAAAGACCCAATTCGAGAAATTCAGTGGTTTCCAAATTTAGGTCATAATTTATGCGAAAATGATAAGCAAACTTTACACGGATTATATCTAATAAACCAAGAGATTCATCCCTTTATTTTGGGCATCGTTATAGCAGATGGGTCCTTGCAAGTCAGCAAAACGCTTTAGAACTCTCGATTACTTTCCGAAGAAATATCCGGTATATGCTAATAATTGGCTTGTCGTCACAGATAGTAGTGAGAGCCGAAACGGTGAACGTCACGGCTCATCGTGTAGGATGCAATACTTAATTATCTTACTCGAGTTATAACATCACAGAAACTCTCACAAAGAGTTGCTCTGATGTTATAATGTATCACTAACCTCTTTACCCGGTAATTAGCATATCCCGGAGATTTAACCGAGGGTCCTTTTTAATGCAAATTCTATCTTTTTTGCTAAATGTGCACGTGTATATGAAACTTGAAAACAATGCCAGTGAATAATGAGGACGCTCGCTTGTAAACACAAATCTGGGGGAATTTGGCTATATTTGAGGCCCTATTTAAAAGCCTTCCCTGTTTTCAATGTTCTTAAAACTTGCAGGGAATATTTCTTGACGATTGATCTCGGAATTGTCGAATTTATAAAAAAATTATCGAGCGGTGTTTGGAAAAATGCGAAATTTTTAGGCATGGAGCAAATTACCTCCAAAAACTGTATCAAGAGCATCTGAATGCAAGTTAATAAAATCCTTCTTACTCGCGATCGCCCAGAGCAATTCCCCTCTTTTTTTGTATGCAGTTTTCGATGGAATCAATCCACTATGAGACGAAGCCGCGTTCCTAAAGCTTATCATTTTCTTAAAATATTAGCGAATTGTGCGGCTAGCATGCTATTTCACTGTTTTTATGATTCTTAATAAAAAATATTTCGAAAACGCTCTCATAGAATTTCTTCAAACTTTGCCATAATGGAGGCAATTATAGCAGGTACATACTCCCTTAAGCGATTTCTTCAAAAAACTCCTGGTACAGAAAAACATTCCACGATTTCCGTTTATCTAATCCACGGTAACTTTATTTATTTACCTACAGAGATTTGAGAAACAACGAGATCAAAGAGCTCCCATCAGGGATATTTTCAAATCTCTCTTCCTTGCAAACACTGTAACTGAACAAAGCACTTTTGGTACCTTCGGGTTGAGGGAAGAGGGGTGATGAATAAGGGGTGAACGTTTAATTGATTACCTACAGTTTGGCTTCTGCTATTCTTCTTATTTCTTCATAGCTGATAATCTATAAAAGTTATAAGAATTATAAGATAGCATTAACACACTCAAAGTTACAACTACATCGATTTATCCATACTTAGGTCACCTTAAAGGCACTTTTTCCTCCTCTCCAGTTTTCCACCGTAACTTTATTTATTTACCCACAGGTATTTGAGTGACAACGAGATCAAGGAGCTCCAGTCGGGGATATTTTCAAATCTCTCTTCCTTGCGAACACTGTAAGTGAACGAAGCACTATTTCATTAAAATTTTATTGTCTTAGATAAATGACCTCGAAGTATCCGAAGTCCTCTGTTGGCACCTTCGGGTTGGCGGAAGAGGGGTGATGGAGATGGGGTGAACGTTTGATTAATTACTTGTAGTTTGGCTTCACCTTTTTCAGCTTTCTTTTTTTAGGTCTTTAAGGAGTCTTTTTCAGCCACAATCCTTTGTGTCCATATAAGTTAGAAGCAATCATTTTAAGTTCAGGATCATCATTTCGTCTGTTTCCATCACGTTATTTCTCAGAATTCCTTTGCCTTCCATCTAACTTCCGTGATAAGCTTGGTTGACTATCAATTGCTAGACGGAGAGCATGCGTGGGGTCGGTGTGCGGTGGCACGTTTTGTGAGGAGCGTAGTTTCTGTCCCTTTACGCCATTTTTAGAGAACTTTATACCGCCTTGACATAATAATTCAACGTTTAAACACTTGCTGAAGTATTAAATGTAGAAATTAGGAGGAAAACACAAACGAGGAGCTCGAGGATCAGCGGAGGAAGAAGAACCATCGACACTTAAAAGAGCCAACATGGCGGAATGTCAAGAGGAAGAGGCCGCGGAGTTAGTGGAAGCGACAAATGAAGCAATAAACGCCGAAGGTGAGCCCAGTAATGCAGAACTAAGGGAGATGTTGGTAGACATTCAAATAAATACTGCAGCTATCCTACGCGAAAACAAAACAATCAGAAGCGAAATGACCGATCTCAAGCGCACAATTCAACATCAAACAGACGATATAACTGCGTTGAAATCATCTCTAGAACATATAACGAAGCAGTACAACGAGGTAGAACGCGGGCTGGTGGCAGCAAGAAAGAAAATTCAAGAGCAGGAAGAAGAATTGTACGATCTTCAAGACAAACTAGAACAATACACGAGTAAAAACTCAATAGAAATACATGGTGTACCAGAATGCGCCTACATTGAGACGGAAGACGTGGTGTTAAAATTAGCGGAGGCCCTAGATGTATCGGTGGAACCAAAGGATATCGAAATATGTCACAAGCTGAACAGGAAGGGTAACAAACCAATTATTGTAAAATTTATAAGCCACAAGGTCAAAACAAATCTATACAGAGAAGACCGAGAGAGCAATATCGCTCTGTGCCACGGGGTGGGGTTAAAAAAAAAGGATCGGCCGAGGACCGAGAGAGCGGTGTCGCTCTGTGCCACAAGGTGGCGTTTAAAAAAAAAAAAAGAGAGAGAGAGAGAGAGATCGGTCGCGGACCGAGAGAGCAGTATCGCTCTGTGCCACGGGGTGACGTTAAAAAAGAAAAAAAGGGAAAAAACAAGATGATCGGTCGTGGACCGAGAGAGAGGTGTATCGCTATCCTCGTTTCGGTATGAATAATGCATTACAAGGTAAAAAAGGACGCAACTCGAAAGGGGTTTGGGAGAGAGCTGATTCTAGAAGTCTTTGCTGTTTCAATTAATAAAACGAGGACCTTTCTTAGGACGGACGCGCACAGCTCCGTGCTCCATACCATTGGACAGCGGTAAGTCATGGCTGAGCTGTGCTTTAAAGCGGGCCATATTTAGCATACTTGCCCAGAGGAACGGGCGAAGGAGGCCTGGTTACCGTGATTGCCATATATACTTGATCGTTTCGTTGGGTTTATCGACAAATTTACCTTTTTTTCTGGTGTCTCTGTGGTCTCGAGGTTGGAGAAGTGACCCCATAAGCGTTTTGCCTATAGGCATGCCCTTGAGCCCGATTACTCGGGCTACGGTGGTCATTTTCTCCGAGCTCGGGTTTACAGTCTCTTTACGTTTTGCCATCTTTTGATCGTTTTCTTCTCGGTTCCATTCGGTGAAGAAACGCCGATATTTGTGCCTTTAACGTTACTGAGAGTAAGCAGATACAGACATGTTTAGTATCTCTGGATGTAAACTCGAGTTCGGGGAAAATGGCCACTAAGTGAAAGGATAATATCTTTAGGGCTTATATCGGCCCATATTATCGGGCCCGTTTACTTATACCTGGGCATAAGGAATAGGGGCGTAGAAGCACTGAGTGGGGTCTTCGATAGTCACCTTTTAAGTAACGGTGTTCACAGCCTGTCACTGGTGCATGACTGAATGATTCATTGAGTTGAGAGCAATCCGGGCGTATTTGGGATGTATGCGGTAAACGTTTTTCGCCATTTTGTCTTCTTGGGGACGCTAGAGCCAAAGAGGACGAGGTTTCAGGTTTATGTGTTGGCACGTTTCACCAGGTTTTATATTTGTGAATTATGGTAACACTTACTACCGCTTGTGGAAGTTTTTTCGATTAGCTGTATTTTGATTCTCACAAAAGTAACAAGGGTGACTGATTTGGATGTGACTTTGTATCTGTACCCTCACTCTTCGGTGGTAACTCAGTATTGAGTGGTAGGCTTGGTGTGTGGTTGTGATCACTCCCGTTTCGTTCAGAATAACTTCTTCATTAATGTTCACAAAACTACTGGACAGGAAGTTCCTACAAGCATTGTTCTTTCTGTTTAATGATTGCTAAATTCGGGGTTGTTTTCCCTTCGACAAGTTTTGTCGCTCTTAAACTGGGTGGAGTGTTCTCGAATACAGTTCATTATTCTGTGAGGGCAGCCTTGTACATGGTTTAAGGTGACTCGACCCAGTTTTTTTGGGGGGGGTACCATCCTACTTTGAAGCTCTCTGGAAGTTTTTTCGATTAGCTGTATTTTGATTCTCACAAAAGTAACAAGGGTGACTGATTTGGATGTGACTTTGTATCTGTACCCTCACTCTTCGGTGGTAACTCAGTATTGAGTGGTAGGCTTGGTGTGTGGTTGTGATCACTCCCGTTTCGTTCAGAATAACTTCTTCATTAATGTTCACAAAACTACTGGACAGGAAGTTCCTACAAGCATTGTTCTTTCTGTTTAATGATTGCTAAATTCGGGGTTGTTTTCCCTTCGACAAGTTTTGTCGCTCTTAAACTGGGTGGAGTGTTCTCGAATACAGTTCATTATTCTGTGAGGGCAGCCTTGTACATGGTTTAAGGTGACTCGACCCAGTTTTTTTTGGGGGGGTACCATCCTACTTTGAAGCTCTCTGGTATCCCCACCTTTACTTTTATCGTAAGTCTAACACATAGAATGGATAACATATAGATCAATCTGCAATATGAAATAAATGTCGGAGTAAATGTCACGTGGTTATAATGCCACGCCCCTTTGAGGTCTGAGTCGAAAATCGGCTGTTGCCGGCATTTTTTTGTGAAAATCTCTCGGCTACACATAGTGCGCATTAGTGCCTTGCGCTGAACAGAGTTTCACCAAAATCGCAAAGACCCAATTCGAGAAATTCAGTGGTTTCCAAATTTAGGTCATAATTTATGCGAAAATGATACGCAAACTTTACACGGATTATATCTAATAAACCAAGAGATTCATCCCTTTATTTTGGGCATCGTTATAGCAGATGGGTCCTTGCAAGTCAGCAAAACGCTTTAGAACTCTCGATTACTTTCCGAAGAAATATCCGGTATATGCTAATAATTGGCTTGTCGTCACAGATAGTAGTGAGAGCCGAAACGGTGAACGTCACGGCTCATCGTGTAGGATGCAATACTTAATTATCTTACTCGAGTTATAACATCACAGAAACTCTCACAAAGAGTTGCTCTGATGTTATAATGTATCACTAACCTCTTTACCCGGTAATTAGCATATCCCGGAGATTTAACCGAGGGTCCTTTTTAATGCAAATTCTATCTTTTTGCTAAATGTGCACGTGTATATGAAACTTGAAAACAATGCCAGTGAATAATGAGGACGCTCGCTTGTAAACACAAATCTGGGGGAATTTGGCTATATTTGAGGCCCTATTTAAAAGCCTTCCCTGTTTTCAATGTTCTTAAAACTTGCAGGGAATATTTCTTGACGATTGATCTCGGAATTGTCGAATTTATAAAAAAAATTATCGAGCGGTGTTTGGAAAAATGCGAAATTTTTAGGCATGGAGCAAATTACCTCCAAAAACTGTATCAAGAGCATCTGAATGCAAGTTAATAAAATCCTTCTTACTCGCGATCGCCCAGAGCAATTCCCCTCTTTTTTTGTATGCAGTTTTCGATGGAATCAATCCACTATGAGACGAAGCCGCGTTCCTAAAGCTTATCATTTTCTTAAAATATTAGCGAATTGTGCGGCTAGCATGCTATTTCACTGTTTTTATGATTCTTAATAAAAAATATTTCGAAAACGCTCTCATAGAATTTCTTCAAACTTTGCCATAATGGAGGCAATTATAGCAGGTACATACTCCCTTAAGCGATTTCTTCAAAAAACTCCTGGTACAGAAAAACATTCCACGATTTCCGTTTATCTAATCCACGGTAACTTTATTTATTTACCTACAGAGATTTGAGAAACAACGAGATCAAAGAGCTCCCATCAGGGATATTTTCAAATCTCTCTTCCTTGCAAACACTGTAACTGAACAAAGCACTTTTGGTACCTTCGGGTTGAGGGAAGAGGGGTGATGAATAAGGGGTGAACGTTTAATTGATTACCTACAGTTTGGCTTCTGCTATTCTTCTTATTTCTTCATAGCTGATAATCTATAAAAGTTATAAGAATTATAAGATAGCATTAACACACTCAAAGTTACAACTACATCGATTTATCCATACTTGGGTCACCTTAAAGGCACTTTTTTCTCCTCTCCAGTTTTCCACCGTAACTTTATTTATTTACCCACAGGTATTTGAGTGACAACGAGATCAAGGAGCTCCAGTCGGGGATATTTTCAAATCTCTCTTCCTTGCGAACACTGTAAGTGAACGAAGCACTATTTCATTAAAATTTTATTGTCTTAGATAAATGACCTCGAAGTATCCGAAGTCCTCTGTTGGCACCTTCGGGTTGGCGGAAGAGGGGTGATGGAGATGGGGTGAACGTTTGATTAATTACTTGTAGTTTGGCTTCACCTTTTTCAGCTTTCTTTTTTTAGGTCTTTAAGGAGTCTTTTTCAGCCACAATCCTTTGTGTCCATATAAGTTAGAAGCAATCATTTTAAGTTCAGGATCATCATTTCGTCTGTTTCCATCACGTTATTTCTCAGAATTCCTTTGCCTTCCATCTAACTTCCGTGATAAGCTTGGTTGACTATCAATTGCTAGACGGAGAGCATGCGTGGGGTCGGTGTGCGGTGGTACGTTTTGTGAGGAGCGTAGTTTCTGTCCCTTTACGCCATTTTTAGAGAACTTTATACCGCCTTGACATAATAATTCAACGTTTAAACACTTGCTGAAGTATTAAATGCAGAAATTAGGAGGAAAACACAAACGAGGAGCTCGAGGATCAGCGGAGGAAGAAGAACCATCGACACTTAAAAGAGCCAACATGGCGGAATGTCAAGAGGAAGAGGCCGCGGAGTTAGTGGAAGCGACAAATGAAGCAATAAACGCCGAAGGTGAGCCCAGTAATGCAGAACTAAGGGAGATGTTGGTAGACATTCAAATAAATACTGCAGCTATCCTACGCGAAAACAAAACAATCAGAAGCGAAATGACCGATCTCAAGCGCACAATTCAACATCAAACAGACGATATAACTGCGTTGAAATCATCTCTAGAACATATAACGAAGCAGTACAACGAGGTAGAACGCGGGCTGGTGGCAGCAAGAAAGAAAATTCAAGAGCAGGAAGAAGAATTGTACGATCTTCAAGACAAACTAGAACAATACACGAGGAAAAACTCAATAGAAATACATGGTGTACCAGAATGCGCCTACATTGAGACGGAAGACGTGGTGTTAAAATTAGCGGAGGCCCTAGATGTATCGGTGGAACCAAAGGATATCGAAATATGTCACAAGCTGAACAGGAAGGGTAACAAACCAATTATTGTAAAATTTATAAGCCACAAGGTCAAAACAAATCTATACAGAGAAGACCGAGAGAGCAATATCGCTCTGTGCCACGGGGTGGGGTTAAAAAAAAAGGATCGGCCGAGGACCGAGAGAGCGGTGTCGCTCTGTGCCACAAGGTGGCGTTTAAAAAAAAAAAAAGAGAAAGAGAGAGAGAGATCGGTCGCGGACCGAGAGAGCAGTATCGCTCTGTGCCACGGGGTGACGTTAAAAAAAAAGAAAAAAAAGGGAAAAACAAGATGATCGGTCGTGGACCGAGAGAGAGGTGTATCGCTATCCTCGTTTCGGTATGAATAATGCATTACAAGGCAAAAAAAAAAGGACGCAACTCGAAAGGGGTTTGGGAGAGAGCTGATTCTAGAAGTCTTTGCTGTTTCAATTAATAAAACGAGGACCTTTCTTAGGACGGACGCGCACAGCTCCGTGCTCCATACCATTGGACAGCGGTAAGTCATGGCTGAGCTGTGCTTTAAAGCGGGCCATATTTAGCATACTTGCCCAGAGGAACGGGCGAAGGAGGCCTGGTTACCGTGATTGCCATATATACTTGATCGTTTCGTTGGGTTTATCGACAAATTTACCTTTTTTCTGGTGTCTCTGTGGTCTCGAGGTTGGAGAAGTGACCCCATAAGCGTTTTGCCTATAGGCATGCCCTTGAGCCCGATTACTCGGGCTACGGTGGTCATTTTCTCCGAGCTCGGGTTTACAGTCTCTTTACGTTTTGCCATCTTTTGATCGTTTTCTTCTCGGTTCCATTCGGTGAAGAAACGCCGATATTTGTGCCTTTAACGTTACTGAGAGTAAGCAGATACAGACATGTTTAGTATCTCTGGATGTAAACTCGAGTTCGGGGAAAATGGCCACTAAGTGAAAGGATAATATCTTTAGGGCTTATATCGGCCCATATTATCGGGCCCGTTTACTTATACCTGGGCATAAGGAATAGGGGCGTAGAAGCACTGAGTGGGGTCTTCGATAGTCACCTTTTAAGTAACGGTGTTCACAGCCTGTCACTGGTGCATGACTGAATGATTCATTGAGTTGAGAGCAATCCGGGCGTATTTGGGATGTATGCGGTAAACGTTTTTCGCCATTTTGTCTTCTTGGGGACGCTAGAGCCAAAGAGGACGAGGTTTCAGGTTTATGTGTTGGCACGTTTCACCAGGTTTTATATTTGTGAATTATGGTAACACTTACTACCGCTTGTGGAAGTTTTTTCGATTAGCTGTATTTTGATTCTCACAAAAGTAACAAGGGTGACTGATTTGGATGTGACTTTGTATCTGTACCCTCACTCTTCGGTGGTAACTCAGTATTGAGTGGTAGGCTTGGTGTGTGGTTGTGATCACTCCCGTTTCGTTCAGAATAACTTCTTCATTAATGTTCACAAAACTACTGGACAGGAAGTTCCTACAAGCATTGTTCTTTCTGTTTAATGATTGCTAAATTCGGGGTTGTTTTCCTTCGACAAGTTTTGTCGCTCTTAAACTGGGTGGAGTGTTCTCGAATACAGTTCATTATTCTGTGAGGGCAGCCTTGTACATGGTTTAAGGTGACTCGACCCAGTTTTTTTTTGGGGGTACCATCCTACTTTGAAGCTCTCTGGTATCCCCACCTTTACTTTTTATCGTAAGTCTAACACATAGAATGGATAACATATAGATCAATCTGCAATATGAAATAAATGTCGGAGTAAATGTCACGTGGTTATAATGCCACGCCCCTTTGAGGTCTGAGTCGAAAATCGGCTGTTGCCGGCATTTTTTTGTGAAAATCTCTCGGCTACACATAGTGCGCATTAGTGCCTTGCGCTGAACAGAGTTTCACCAAAATCGCAAAGACCCAATTCGAGAAATTCAGTGGTTTCCAAATTTAGGTCATAATTTATGCGAAAATGATAAGCAAACTTTACACGGATTATATCTAATAAACCAAGAGATTCATCCCTTTATTTTGGGCATCGTTATAGCAGATGGGTCCTTGCAAGTCAGCAAAACGCTTTAGAACTCTCGATTACTTTCCGAAGAAATATCCGGTATATGCTAATAATTGGCTTGTCGTCACAGATAGTAGTGAGAGCCGAAACGGTGAACGTCACGGCTCATCGTGTAGGATGCAATACTTAATTATCTTACTCGAGTTATAACATCACAGAAACTCTCACAAAGAGTTGCTCTGATGTTATAATGTATCACTAACCTCTTTACCCGGTAATTAGCATATCCCGGAGATTTAACCGAGGGTCCTTTTTAATGCAAATTCTATCTTTTTGCTAAATGTGCACGTGTATATGAAACTTGAAAACAATGCCAGTGAATAATGAGGACGCTCGCTTGTAAACACAAATCTGGGGGGGGGGGGGAATTTGGCTATATTTGAGGCCCTATTTAAAAGCCTTCCCTGTTTTCAATGTTCTTAAAACTTGCAGGGAATATTTCTTGACGATTGATCTCGGAATTGTCGAATTTATAAAAAAATTATCGAGCGGTGTTTGGAAAAATGCGAAATTTTTAGGCATGGAGCAAATTACCTCCAAAAACTGTATCAAGAGCATCTGAATGCAAGTTAATAAAATCCTTCTTACTCGCGATCGCCCAGAGCAATTCCCCTCTTTTTTTGTATGCAGTTTTCGATGGAATCAATCCACTATGAGACGAAGCCGCGTTCCTAAAGCTTATCATTTTCTTAAAATATTAGCGAATTGTGCGGCTAGCATGCTATTTCACTGTTTTTATGATTCTTAAAAAAAATATTTCGAAAACGCTCTCATAGAATTTCTTCAAACTTTGCCATAATGGAGGCAATTATAGCAGGTACATACTCCCTTAAGCGATTTCTTCAAAAACTCCTGGTACAGAAAAACATTCCACGATTTCCGTTTATCTAATCCACGGTAACTTTATTTATTTACCTACAGAGATTTGAGAAACAACGAGATCAAAGAGCTCCCATCAGGGATATTTTCAAATCTCTCTTCCTTGCAAACACTGTAACTGAACAAAGCACTTTTGGTACCTTCGGGTTGAGGGAAGAGGGGTGATGAATAAGGGGTGAACGTTTAATTGATTACCTACAGTTTGGCTTCTGCTATTCTTCTTATTTCTTCATAGCTGATAATCTATAAAAGTTATAAGAATTATAAGATAGCATTAACACACTCAAAGTTACAACTACATCGATTTATCCATACTTGGGTCACCTTAAAGGCACTTTTTCCTCCTCTCCAGTTTTCCACCGTAACTTTATTTATTTACCCACAGATATTTGAGTGACAACGAGATCAAGGAGCTCCAGTCGGGGATATTTTCAAATCCCTCTTCCTTGCGAACACTGTAAGTGAACGAAGCACTATTTCATTAAAATTTTATTGTCTTAGATAAATGACCTCGAAGTATCCGAAGTCCTCTGTTGGCACCTTCGGGTTGGCGGAAGAGGGGTGATGGAGATGGGGTGAACGTTTGATTAATTACTTGTAGTTTGGCTTCACCTTTTTCAGCTTTCTTTTTTTAGGTCTTTAAGGAGTCTTTTTCAGCCACAATCCTTTGTGTCCATATAAGTTAGAAGCAATCATTTTAAGTTCAGGATCATCATTTCGTCTGTTTCCATCACGTTATTTCTCAGAATTCCTTTGCCTTCCATCTAACTTCCGTGATAAGCTTGGTTGACTATCAATTGCTAGACGGAGAGCATGCGTGGGGTCGGTGTGCGGTGGCACGTTTTGTGAGGAGCGTAGTTTCTGTCCCTTTACGCCATTTTTAGAGAACCTTATACCGCCTTGACATAATAATTCAACGTTTAAACACTTGCTGAAGTATTAAATGCAGAAATTAGGAGGAAAACACAAACGAGGAGCTCGAGGATCAGCGGAGGAAGAAGAACCATCGACACTTAAAAGAGCCAACATGGCGGAATGTCAAGAGGAAGAGGCCGCGGAGTTAGTGGAAGCGACAAATGAAGCAATAAACGCCGAAGGTGAGCCCAGTAATGCAGAACTAAGGGAGATGTTGGTAGACATTCAAATAAATACTGCAACTATCCTACGCGAAAACAAAACAATCAGAAGCGAAATGACCGATCTCAAGCGCACAATTCAACATCAAACAGACGATATAACTGCGTTGAAATCATCTCTAGAACATATAACGAAGCAGTACAACGAGGTAGAACGCGGGCTGGTGGCAGCAAGAAAGAAAATTCAAGAGCAGGAAGAAGAAATTGGTGAATTGTACGATCTTCAAGACAAACTAGAACAATACACGAGGAAAAACTCAATAGAAATACATGGTGTACCAGAATACGCCTACACCGAGACGGAAGACGTGGTGTTAAAATTAGCGGAGGCCCTAGATGTATCGGTGGAACCAAAGGATATCGAAATATGTCACAAGCTGAACAGGAAGGGTAACAAACCAATTATTGTAAAATTTATAAGCCACAAGGTCAAAACAAATCTATACAGGGCTAGGGCTAAGCTAAAAAATGTCAGAGTTTCTAACATCTTCCCGCAGTGCTCGTCGTCAACTCTAGTGCAAGCCGACAGAATTTTTTTAAACGAGAATCTTACCTCGTACAGGAAAAAAATAATGAATCGGGCAAACGAGATGCGGAGAAATGATGAATTGTTGAGTGTCTGGTCAATGGATGGATCAATATATGTCAAGACCTCTCCGCAGGGTAAGCCGGTCAGAATTAACGAGCTGGAAGACTTAGATTATCTTTAAATGTCCAATCGGCCAAGGAAGACAAAAACTGTAACTTACATTTGGGACAGGAACAAAAAACGCAAAGTTCGGAGAAGAAGAAGGGAAACGCTCAAAAACTACTTTAATTTACGTTTTGTATAATTTTAGTTTTGTTTGCTTCTGTATTTTTTTTTAAATTTGCATATATATTCTTCTTGTTTTTTTGTTTTTTTTTGTTTTTTATTGTAATGCAAGAGAAAGCAAAATACGATATACTTTCTCTAAACGTAAGGGGAATAAGAGATCAAGCCAAACGGAGGAGCATTTTTCTATATCTCAAAGATCATAACTCAAAAATTTATTTCTTGCAAGAAACTTACTCTCAACCAGAAGATGAAATTATTTGGAAAAACGAATGGGGAGGTGAAATATTTTTCTCTCACGGATCCAGGCATAGTAAAGGTGTTTGCATTCTTTTACACCCTACGGTACAAAATAAGATCGATTACTCATTCAGTGACAAGGCTGGAAGAATCGTGCTAATTACTTGTGTTCTGAATTCTCTAAAATTATCACTGGTGAATATTTATGCCCCGAATAGCCAAAGTGAACAATTAGATTTCTTACAAAACTTAAACAATTGCCTTATCGACAAGTCAGAAATTTCCACGCTTATTGTAGGAGGCGACTGGAATTGCACACTATCAAAGATAGATAAAATTGGTGGCACAATTTGGAAACCAACAAATTATCGAAACCTGATTTTGACAACTATGGACGCTTTCGATCTCGTAGATATTCAAAGATTACGTCACCCGAGGCTACGTAAATACTCTTATGAATCAAAAGTGTTAAAACTGAAATCCAGAATAGACTTTTTCCTAGTTGCCAAAAATCTGACACAACATGTGAAGAAAAGCGAAATTTATCCTTCTATAGCACCGGATCACCGAGCAATTTACATTTCTTTGTCTTGGACAACTGAAAAGTCTAGAGGACCCGGACTTTGGAAATTCAACAACACGTTACTGAAAGATGAACATTATGTGTCCAAAATCCGTGAAACGTACTCCCGCACACGCGCTTTTTACTCCAATTTGGCAGACGCACGCCTTCTTTGGGAAATGTTAAAAATGGAAACCAGAGCGGCAACCATTGCTTATAGTAAAAAGAAAGCTAAAGCGACCACTAATAGAGAATTGGAAATTAGGAGACAGCTCGAAATTCTGGACCGCAATATTTGCGACAGCTTTAACTCTCCCAATATCGCGCACATCCTAAATGAATATGAAGATCTCAAAATGGAACTCCAATCTATTTATGAGGAGAAAGGGAGGGCAGCTATTTTTAGATCGAAATGTCGATGGGTCGAAAAGGGCGAACGTCCAACAAAGTACTTTTTCAATCTGGAGAAAAGAAACTACAACAGGAAAACCATCACTGAACTGCGAACAGAAAGTGAAACAGTAACAAACAACGAGTCTCAGATATTAGAAGCTATCGAAAACTATTATAGCGAATTGTACGCATCAGCAAATAATTCACAGGAAAATAATGTTGATGAATTCAGCGAACATTTAAAAATTCCAAAACTATCAGATGCAGACAGAGATAGAATAGAAGGTCCATTATCTTATGAAGAATGCAAAAAACCTTTAGACACTTTTCAAAACAACAAAGCTCCAGGAGAAGATGGTTTCACGGTTGAATTTTATATGTTTTTTTTCGATCTGCTAGGACACGATCTTGTTGCTAGTTTCAATGCGGCCTATGATGCAAATGAACTCACCATTTCACAACGAAGAGGCGTTATTACTTTAATTCCCAAAGAAGATGGCTCGCTACTAGAACTTTCAAACTGGAGACCGGTAACACTGCTAAATGTTGATTGCAAGATAGCAACTAAGGCAATAGCAAGGAGAATAGAACCATTATTACCAAATCTAGTGCACACTGATCAAACCGGTTTTATCAAAGGAAGATATATCGGGGAAAATATTAGGCTAATAATCGACATAATGGAACATACGAAGTCAGAAAGCATACCTGGCATTCTAGTATCTCTAGATTTTCGGAAAGCTTTTGATTCTCTAGAATGGTCGTTCATGATGAAAGCACTGGATATATTCAATTTCGGAACAAGTATAAAAAGATGGATCAGTACATTCTATACAAAAATTGAGAGCGCGGCGATAAACAATGGTTTCATGACCAACTGGTTTAGACCGTCAAGAGGAGTGCGACAGGGGTGTCCCCTTTCTCCGTACTTATTTGTGCTTTCCACGGAGATATTATCCAGCAAAATCAGACAAGAACCAAGTATAACAGGAATCAAAATATTCGGGCACGAAATCAAATTGAGCCAATTCGCAGACGACACAAACCTTTTCTGTGCAGATTTGATCTCCGTTGAAAATGCTTTGAAAACGGTGGGAGATTTTGGGAGGCTAGCGGGTCTCAAGTTAAACATAAAGAAATCGAAAGCAATTTGGTTGGGAAAATGGGAAAAAAACAAAAGTTATCCTTTACAACTAAAATGGTTACATAGTCCGGCTCGCCTCTTAGGAATTCATGTCTCTTATGATGAGAAGGGTAACAATGAATTGAACTTTAATCTGAAAATACGAAAACTTCAAACAAAGCTGGATATGTGGAGATCTAGAGACCTCACACTATTTGGGAAGGTACTGATAATGAAGTCCCTAGGATTGTCACAATTAATTTATTCAGCTTCAATTCTTAATGTTCCCGAAGATATCGCAAGCACAGTGAAAACAAAGTTTTTCAGTTTCTTATGGAAAAACAAAAGGGATAAAATTAAACGAACTGGGCTCTATCAGGATCTGGGAAGAGGCGGAATACGTATGGTAGACATCGACATAATGTTTAAAGCTCTAAAACTAGCCTGGATTCCAAGATTACTGACTCCAGGGAACCAGAATTGGAAAACAGTTCCTGATTATTACCTAAGAAAATTCGGAGGTTTGAACTTTTTACTGAGATGTAACTACGATGCGAAATACATAAAATCTATTCCATTGTTTTACCGAAATATTCTAGTATACTTCAGTGAATTAAAAACTCTGTACAGCTTTGATCAAGCACAAAATATAATTCTATTCAACAACAAAAAATACTTGTTGACAGTAAAACCTTTTTATCAGGGAATGGTTTAAAAAGGTATCCTGTCAATACAAGATCTCTTACACAATACCGGTCAACCGATGACCTATCAGGAATTTACGAATAAGTATTCCTGTAAAACTAACTTCCTTCAATACTATCAAGTTATTAGCGCTATCCCAAAGCACCTATTAGCCAAAGCAAAATCAACGAAGCCAATTAATAAAGAGTTATATTCTGATAATAATCTTAGTCTACAATTAAATGAATCGATAACTCTATATCTGAACAAAATCAAGACTAGCGACTTCTATACGCTATTATGCACAAAAATCCACACAACAGGTCATTCTGGGCCACAGAGATGGAGCAAAGATCTTTCCTTGGATGAAGATAAATGGGAAAAAATATTCACCTCCCTAAAAACCGTCTGTAGAGAGACCAAATTAAAGGAATTTCAATATAAATTAATCCACCGAATTGTAGTCACCAAAAAGGAACTTTACCGCTATGGAATCAAGGAAGATGATGAATGTATATATTGTGGTGAAAAAGACTCTATTAATCATACTTTTTAGAGATTGTCATTTCGTCAAGATTTTCATTCAACGGGTTATCAACTGGTTCAATATAGAAAACAAGATCAATCTCAACCCATCTAGCGAAGAAAGACTGTTCGGCATCCTCTCGGACTTACATGAAAAGGTACTAGTAAGGAAATTCAATTATACCATGTTGTTTATGAGATACTACATCTACGCCAACAAACTACACAACAAACCAATTCTCCTCCAAGACTTCGTTGGTAAAATGATAATTAAATACAAAATTGAAAAGCTATAAAATAGACATGAAAAGTAACTCCTCTGACCTTTTTTTTTTTTTTTTTTTTTTTTGTGTGTGTTTATGTGGGGGTGTGTGTGTGTGTGATGCACTAGAATTGTAAGTAGTGTAACCATTGTAATTATTAGTAGTACGAGCATCGTAAGGATGGTATTGTCAGTATAGCCAATATTGTAAATAGTGCAAGTATAGTGAATATTGTTAGTAGTATTTAGTTTCAGTAGTGTTTAGTACTGTAAACATTTAATATATGTCTGTAAGGCAAAAATAAAAAAAAATAAAAAAAAAAATCAATTGCTAGACTTTCTTTGTTTTCGTGAATAGTGAGACCAACTTTTCCGTAACTTCACTTTTAAAGCCCGTCTGGACTAAAGTTTTTTGGTCAATTTGTATAAGTAATAGCATGATTTGGAGTGATATTTGGCATAAATACCACGAGTGATATTTCAAAATTGTTATACGTAATTTCACGAGGCTAGTGAAATTTGAGACAATTTTGAAATATCACAAGTGGTATTTATGCCAAATATCACGTACAGATCATGCTATTATTTGTTTATACTACTACCCACAAGAGGTTTGTAATTTTCACATGTAGGTATTTCAAATTAAGCTGAAATACTACTGTTCTAAGCCAATCAAATTGCAGAAATTTCTGATGTAGTAGTATAAGCATAATTATTAAAAACTGAATCATTGGATAATGCAATTCTAGCATTTTGATTGGCTTAGCCGTTATGGTATATGAGCTAATATACCATGTTCTCCATATATGGTCGGTGTACGCATCAGTTTAAAATTGGAAGCTAGCTGAGATTTTTTTTCGCGAAGGATAGAACGGCGCCCGAAGCAAATCGTTTTAATTCATTTCTTAGAATACTAGAAATGCAATTTCAACGAAAGAAAAAAGACAAAAACAAACAAAAAAGCCACAAGAGCTTGTTTGAAAGTTTGTCGAAAAACACATGAAAACACATGGAACTAAAGTACCTTGACCAGCTACGAAAGAAGACAAGTCTTGTTTCTTCATGATCGCGAAGCCATTCGCCGATCGAGTCACTCGCCGATAGATA